CTTACATAATTCTGATACAGAAACAGAGTTTTCATATAACTCAAATTTTAGTTTTGTCTACACATTTCATAATGTAAAAATACTTGGAATTATAATGAATGACTTTTAAGCCTCTTGCCAGGAAGCTCACACCTCTTGATGTCACACCTGACTCAACATTCAATCTTGGATTGGTCACTTTTCTTCTTTTTCTCTGTTTTTTTGTACCAGACCTGAGGCTTGAACTCAGGACCTGGGCACTGTCCTTGAACTTTTGTACTCAAGATTAGTGCTCTACCACTTAGAGCCACAGTGCCATTTTTGACTTTTTGGTAGTTAATTGCAGATGAGTCTTACAGATTCTCTTGCCTGGGTTGTCTTTGAACTGGGATCCTCATATCTCAGTCTCTTCAGTAGCTAGGATTACAGGCATGAGCCACCAGTGCCCGGCTTCTTTTGTTTTTTGTACTGTACCACCCTCCCAAGGTCTCTTCATCATGCTGGACTCTCCGCTATTCCACCAAACAAACACATTGTCTCTTACTAACATTCTCCTATTACATTAGTCCTCATGCTCCCATCTGCCTTCCCATTCTGCTAGACTGCTGTTCCTGTTTCCCCATCCCACTGTTTCTCCTTAGACTGACACTTCTTCCCTTTGTCCTCAACACTCCCTTTTCATTGACCCACTTTTCCTTGGAGCCACAACAGTGCCCAGCCCCTAGAAATCCTCACCCCTGTGTCCTCTTTTACATCTCTCCTTCAGTCACCACCTCATCACTGTGTAACACCCACCACCACTGCTTTCACCTTCATTCATCCCAACACATTGTCCATGTACTCAGACACTCAGGTCCAGGCCTTTCAGGACTCACTGCTTTTTAAAATGCTAAAGCTGCTGTTATAAAACAGCTATGTAGGTTATTCTCAGATTTTTGGTCCATAAAGCTGGGACTTCAGGGCTACCAGATCATCCTTTTTAAAAAATCAGCTCTGTCTTGCATTCTACCTAGGCAAAGATTGCTATTCAACTTCTTTTCTCTCTTTCTGCTTCATTTTCTGCAGAGAAAGTTACATATAACCAGGTGAGAATTTGACTCTGTCAACTTCTAATTTTCCTCCATTACTCCCTCCCCCCCTTTTTTTTTTCCTTGTCTGTCATGGGGCTTGAACTCTGGACCTGGATGCTGTCCCTCAGCTCTTCAGCTCAAGGCTAGTAATCCTCAGGTGTGAGCCACCAGCACCCGGCCCCATTTTTTCCTTTCTACTACTCTCTCTCCTAGCTTTTTCCTTCAGCACTGAATCTGCTTAGATCTCACCTATTATAAGACATCCTAGGGAGTCAGGAGGCTATCTGAGGATCAAGGTTTGAAGCCAGCCAGGACAGGAAAGGCCTTCATATTCTTATCTACAATTAATTAAGGGGTGGCCAGGAGAAACTGGAACTGAAGGTGTAGCTGAAGTGATAAAGCACTAGCCTTGAGCAGAAAAAGCCAAGCAAAAGGCCTTGAGTTCAAACAGGAATACCAGCATACAACACACAAGCAAGCTGGGTTGTTCAAGTTGAGTCTGCTTCTTCATTTCCATTTTTGTTAGTGAAGGAGTAGAGCCGTGCTTGCTGTCTGTACTTTCTATCAGGCACTGGTCTCAATTTTCTCACTACTTTATAAAGATAAGGACATGAATAATCTCTTGCCAAAATCAATGAAAAATTTTCAGGCTTTTTTTTTGGGGGGGGGGGCATTCCTGGGGCTTGAACTCAGGGCCTAGGTGGTGTCCCTGCTCAAGACTAGTGCTCTACCACTTGACCTCCAGAGCCACTTCTACCTTTTTCTGAGTAGTTTATTGGGGAGATAAGAATCTCATACTTTTCTGCTCAGGCTGGCTTCAAACTTCAATCCTCAGATATCAGCTTCCTGAGTAGTTAGGATTACAGGCATGAGTCACCAGTGCCCTACCTCAGGCTTTTTCTTTTTTTTTTTTGGGTCTGGTCGTGGGGCCTGAACTCTGGGCCTGGGCGCTGTCCCTCAGCTCTTCAGCTCAAGGCTAGCGCTCTACCACTTGAGCCACAGCACCACTTCCAGCTTTTTTCTTATGTGGTGCTGAGGAATCTAACCCAGAGCCTCATGCATGCAAGGCAAGCGCTCTACCACTGAGCCACCTTCCTAGCCTCAGGCTTTTTCTTATTTGACATAGCACTTAATATATTGATTGACTTTTCTTTTGTTTCTTTTTTTTTTTTTTTTTTGGGTCCGGTTGTGGGGCCTGAACTCTGGGCCTGGGCGCTGTCCCTCAGCTCTTCAGCTCAAGGCTAGCACTCTACCACTTGAGCCACCGCGCCACTTGTGGCTTTTTTCTTTTTGCTTATGTGGTACTGAGGAATCGAACCCAGGACCTCATGCATGCAAGGCAAGCGCTCTACCACTGAGTCACCTTCCCAGCCCGTGACTTTTCTTTCCTTTTTTTTTTTTTTTGGGTCCGGTCGTGGGGGCCTGAACTCTGGGCCTGAGCGCTGTTCCTCAACTCTTCAGCTCAAGGCTAGTGCTCTACCATTTGAGCTACAGCGCCACTTGCGGCTTTTTTCTTTTTGCTTATGTGGTGCTGAGGAATTGAACCAAGGGTCTCAGGCAGACAAGGCAAGCGCTCTACTACTGAGCCACCTTCCCCGCCCCCTTGATTGGCTTTTCTAAAAGAACTCTGCTTAGATTTGCTTTTTCTCTTTGGCTGTTGTTTCATAGCTTTTTTTTTTTTAAACAGTTTTTTTTCCTCATCTGTAAGTGCTGATGTTTCTGAGAGACATGAGTTTGGTGTTCTTCCTTTCTCCCATGTCCCTCAGTGGTGTTTATCATAATTGTCTCTATGCCACATGCCATTGCATGAAAGTTTTCCAGATTTGAGCTCCAGATAGCTCCAGCTATTCACTAGGTACCTCCAAGTTTACATTTAGGCACCTCAGACAGAGAATGTCCCCATCCCCACCAACCTGCTTAGTTTTGCTTTAGTCTCAGCTTACAGATCTTTTCCTATTTTCCTGATACTCCAGTCAATTTTTTGTCTTTGGAGATACCACTCCACTTTCAAACCAATTTGATTAAAGCATTTAATGTAGTTACTTCATTTATGCATGTCTGTATTGCTACATTATGAAGCTCCTCTTCATGCTTGTACTTGGGCTTGAACTCAGGACCTTGAATTTTCCTTTTTTTGCTTAAGGTTGGTGTTCTACCACTAGACTTCCAGTTATTGCTGGTTAATTGGAGCTAACAGTCTAATGGACTTTTCTCCATGGGCTGACTGTGAATCGTGATCTTGAGTACCTAGGACTACAGAAGTAAGCTACTGGCTGAGCTCAGGTGGTTCACGCCTGTAATCCTAGCTTCTTAGAAGGCTAAGATCAGAAGATTGGGATTTGAAGCCAGCCTGGCAGAAAATCTGTGATAAATAATAGATAAAATAATAGAATGTAAAGAGTTCAAAGTGAATACTTCAAAAATTAGATTTGCAAATACAAACTTTGAGCTTTCCATTTCTGTTCTTTTTTTTTTTTTTTTTTAATATCAGCCCTGTATCTTGAATCTACTTTCAGCTTTTGCAAATTTGCTAGTCTTGAACAAGCTGTACATATCTAGGCTAATATACTAGAGTGGCTAGTTAAGAGTTGATTGGTCTTTTTCTTTCTTTTCTTTTCTTTTTTTTGGGTTGGTCATGGGGCCTGAACTCTGGCCCTGGGCGCTGTACCTCAGCTCTTCAGCTCAAGGCTAGCACTCTACTGTTTTTTTTTTTTTTTTTTTTGTTAGCACTCTACTGTTTGAGCCACAGAGCCACTTCCGACCTTTTCTGCTTATGTGGTGCTGAGGAATTGAACCCAGGGCCTCATGCATGCCTGGCAAGCGCTCTACCACTGAGCCACCTTCCTAAGCCCCTGGTGTCTGTCTCCCTCTGTCTCTCCCTCCCTCCCTTCCTCCCTCCCTCCCTCCCTTCCTTCCTTCCTTTTTTTGTTGTCCTGGGCCTCAAACTGTGGTCCTGGATGCTGTCTCTAACCTCCTTATGCTCAAGGCTACAACTCTACCATTTGAGCTACAGCACCACTTCCAGCTTTATCTGTGATTAATTGGAGATTAGAATCTCACGGACTTTTCTGCCCAGTCTGGGTTGGAACCCTAATCCTCAGATTTCAGCCTCCTGAGTAGCTATGATTCAAGGCATGAGCCACTGGCACCCAGCATAATCTTTTTCTTGAAACAGGTGTTCTCCTATGGGAGAAAGTTCTTTCTGATAAATTTTAGGGCATATTTTTGTATATTATGCTAGCTATAATTTTATTTTCCTTTCATGTTTTTGTCATGTGTGCAATATTATTGTGAATCAATAATAAAAGAAATTTAATGGTTTTATCTTAAATCTCTGCTGTTGAATTTATTATTTTTTTAAAAAGAATATTGTTTTATTATCAAGGTGTTATATTGAAGGGTTACCATTTCTTAAGCCAGGTGACAAATATTATTTTTTTATGTAGCTTCCTCCTTCCCTTATATAAATACTTTTGAGAGTATAATCAATAGAACCAAAGGCTTTATTTTCAAAATTAGTTTTGTTAGCAGGTACTTTTCTATGTGAGACAGTATTTTCATTACTAGAATAAGCCAAGATTTAGATTCTTTTATCTGTAGTAGTGAAGAGGCCAGTCAGGGTTCACTTGGTGCTGTCATGCATTGTCCTCCCTCTCTTTTGTTCTATTTTTCTTAGTTGTAGTTAGCAGTCATAGAAGTGCTGGCTATCATCTCTTAAATACTAATAACCACATAGGGCAAGTTTTGCGGTCTTTCCTGGAGAACCAAAAGTACCCCTAACCAAAATTGAAAGTGAAAAGAAACTGTATGTAAAAATACTGTTTTAAAATAATTTTTTTTCATCCTTCCCTCCTAAACTCTTCAAGGACCTCATAAATGACCACAAACTTTCTACAGTTTGTCTACAAGGACACGTTGCTTAATTTCTTTTTTCTTTTTTGTGTGAAACAGCCAAACATGCTGTTGGAAGGGCAAAAGGTAGGTAAACTATATTAGAGAGAGAGAATGAGTGAGTGTGTGTGTGTTTTACTGGAGATTGAACATGGGGCCTCACACATGACAGCTCTTTACCACTTGAGCCATGTGCTTAACACCCCCCCCCCCCCTTTTTTTTTCCCCTGAGGTAGTGTCTCCATAACTGCCTTCATAGACTTCTCACTATCCTCTGCTTGCCCTCCTGAGTAGCTGGCATTTCAGGCATGCACCATATGTTTGGTGAGATTTCTTAGCCTTTTTGCTTTATTTCAGAGCTTGTCAAATCACTTTCCCCAGACAATAATAAAATTGAAATGATAAGCCATTCCAGTTCCAGTATAATAAAAATACTAAATGAAAATTGAGAAATAAATTGAGAAATAAAATACTATAGTACCTAAAGTGTAGGTGCTTCAAAATATTTTATTAAGTTAAAAAGCTGTATTTTAAGTTATATATGAACTAATCTGGCTTTGTTCCCATTGTTGACTATTTATGTGGTTCCATGTGTTTCTGACTCAAGAACAGTGTTGTTTAATAAATAAAAGATGTTGGCCATTGTCAACATTTAGTGCGTTGGGGTCCCTGGGTAAGGGTCACGAAATCACCAGGACACGGGATGCAGAGTGAAAACAGCAATTGCCACTGCATGCTGTGCTTTATTGTTAGTGGATATTTAAAGACAAGCAAGCATGATCTTTGCCAAGATTTGGTCAGGAGACATTTACACAAAAAATTTCAACAGATACAGTTTTACTTGACCTATGAGACAATGTCTTGGTATATTATTATCTAAACTATTTTAGAGCAAGCTCAAACCACTTCTCCAATCTCAGGAAAATGCTTGACCAGTTGTTCATCTATGTTTAAGCAAGCAGAAGAGCTACTTCCTCAGCTCCCAGGTGTCTGTGACATGTGTTTTGAGATAGGGAGAGAGAACATTTTCCCTCTCTAGCCCGGCATGCCAAGAGCTTTCCTAATACTCAAACACAGTCCTCAGATAATCCTGAGGCCGGAGCCTGCATCATTCTGCTCCTTCAACATAGACCCTGAGTCTTCACAGGCCATGTATGTCAATTCAGACATTTCTGGAAATACCATTAAAAAGTAAAAAACCCCAACAAAAGTAGTTTTAGTACAGTAATATATCTTATTTAATCCAAAATACAAAAGAATTATTGTAATTCTTGTACTAGTTGAAAACCTGTGTGTTATATATTTAACTAGATATAGCCACAGTTAAAATGCTCAGCTATATGTGTTATGACAAATGCCTTCTGAATACATGACATAACCTTAGATATTGGTCTACTTTAGGGTATGTATTTTATTAGATATGTTTGGGATCATCCCCTGTCCTTTTCCTTTACTTCCTGTTTATTGTACTTTCTATAACAGCCTTGGATTTTTGTTCTTGATATCCACTTTTAAATTTAAAAAAAAAATCTGTTGTTCATGTAGTTGCAGGCTTCCTCTACTCCTACATGTCTAGAGAGTAGAAATATCACAATAAACTCAGGTTGGCCGTTTCAGAGCTGTAAGGTTTTGCTCTCTGGGAGGCTGATCCCATGTGCATTGTGCCTTCTTTTAATCTATGAGTTGTGATCCTGAGAGCTATTCCTGCAACCATGTTGAGATAGTGCAGACGAATAATCATTGAAGAACAGAGAAAGAGATATAGACTTGAGGCATAGAATTTTAGACTTTTTAAAAATTGGGTAACTGAGTAGTAAATTACATTTTTTAAAATTATTTTTTAAAACTAATTTTATTTTTTGCTGATGTGGTACTGAGAAATTGATCCCAGTGTCTCATGCATGGTAGGCAAGCACTCTGCCATTAAGTCACATTTCTTGCCTTAAATTACATTTTTGTAAGTGGTAGTTGAAATCTGTGTTTGGATATTCAAATCAGTGCTTTGTTCTTTTTTTTTTTGGTCTGGTCGTGGGGCCTGAACTCTGGGCCTGGGTGCTGTCCCTCAGCTCTTCAGCTCAAGGCTAGCACTCTACCACTTGAGCCACAGTGCCACTTCCGGCTTTTTTTCTTTCTGCTTATGTGGTGCTGAGGAATCGAACCCAGGGCCTTGAGCATGCAAGGCAAGCGTTCTACCACTGAGCCACCTTCCCAACCCTTCAAATCAGTGCTTTGTTCTGCCATTTGGAATAGAAACAGTTTCAAGAGTACAAGAGATTTGGATTAGGGGAAGTTTATCTTGGAAAAAATAGCTTTATGATCTTAGAGTAGTGCCCCCCCAATCACAGAGGGTTGTTCTGAGATTGATGAGAGGATTTCATTAGTTAAAATTGAGGTCCACTGAAATACCTATGCCCTGAGATGCTTGAGTTTGACATACTAGGTTTTACTGCTTGTATACTCAGGGCTTGAGCACTGTCCTTGAGCTTTTTGGTTCCTGAACCATAGCTCTACTTTCAGTTTTTGTTGGGTGGTAAATTGGAGCTAAGAGTCTTAGGGACTTTCCTGCCAAGGCTAGCTTTGAACCTTGATTCTCACATCTCAGCCTCCTGAGGTTTTTTGCTTTTTTTTTTTCTGGTCCTAGGTTTGAACCCAGGACTGGGGCAATCTTGCTGAGCTTTTTGTGCTCAAATCTAGAACTCTACCATCTGAGCCACAGCTTTTCTTCTAGCCTTTTGTAGCTAACTGGAGATAAGAGTCTCATGGACTTTCCTGCCTGGGCTGGCTTTGAACTGCGACTCTCAGATTCCAGCAGGCAGGAGCCACTGATGCCTAGCAGTTTTTTTAAAGCATTTATTAGGGTGGGTTTGGGTGTTTATTGTGATATTTCACTTTCTAGACATACACAGATTCAGTCTAACTACAAGGAGTGATTATGACTAGTTGATCTTATTGAAGAGAATCAGTAATACAGTAAATTTTCCCTCTGGTAGTAGTCTTATTGCCTCTGCTTTGGCTGTGAATTTAGTTTATTGTGACACAGCTTTGACTGCATTTAAAATCTTTTGTATTTTAGGCACTTTAAACTATAAACTAGTGTTTTAAATTTATTAATTTTTTTAAAAGTAAAGTTTCTCAGAAATTTGAAAGTAGACTAGTAGATTGATTTTATTGTGACCATGAAGATAATGCACAAATGTCTAAAGAAAATATATTTCACTCTTTCTCAGGTCATTTTCTGCCCAATCCAGAATGAACAGCCTATTATATGAATTGAAAGCATTTTTGTATTTAAAAAATTAGAAATAATAGAAAAATACTTTAAGCTCATACATGTGGACTGAGAATGTCTGTCAGAGAGACAGTCTGTAGTCAATCAAGTAGAAACAGTTTGACAGAATCAAATGCATACAGAATTCTTTCCTGGCCTTAACTTTCCAAGTTCAATTCATTCATCCCACCTTTGCAACCTGTGGCAGTCAGTAATGTTTTGTTTTTGTTTTCTTATCTTAAATGTTATTTAGTTGTAATCATATTGTATATGACTTTTTCAGACTGACTTCTTTCTCTACTGGATAGAAGAGTTCTCCCACTTTAAATTCTAAATAATACTCTGTTACCTGAAAATACCATAGTTTGTTTACCCAGTCACCTATTGAAGAACATTGTAATTACTTCAGAACTTTGGTGATTGTCACAGAGCTATAAAAAAAATACTCCTGTGCAAGTTTTTGTATGGCTACAAATTTTCAACCCTTGGGTAATACTAAGGAGCATGATTGTTGGATCATGTGGTCAGATTATACTGAGGTATAAGTTGGCCTCAGCATGTACTTCTCTATAGCTAGCTGTACTGTTCAGCATCTCGTGGGTGACAAGTGAGAGTTTTTCTTGCTTCAAATTTTTCATTAGCATAACGTTAAATTTTTGGATTTTGTAATCCTAATAGATATGTAGTAGAATTTTAGTTTGCTATTCTCTCTTGAAATATCATGTCGAGTATCTTTTCATATGTCTTTGGTGAGTTTTCTGTTCAGACCTTTTGCTCATTTTTGAATTGGTCTTTTTTGTTTTTGTTTACTGGGAGTAATTCAGAGCCTCCCACGTGCTTGGTAAAATGCTTGGTAAAATGCCATCTTCCTGCCTTTTTACAATCTTATTTTGAGGCAAGGTCTTGCTCAGCTGTCATGCTGAGCTCCACCTTGCAGTTCTCCTTCCTCAGCATCCTGATTAGCTGAGTTTAAAGCAGCTTAACATACCCAGCTTTGTTGTAGAATTTTAAGAGTTCTTGGGTATATTGGATATGAATATTGCAAAGATTTCCTCTTAGCTTGTGATTTATTGTTTCATTCTCTAAGGATGTGCCCTTCAGAGAGAAATTTTAAATGTCTATCAATTTTATCAATTTCTTCACTTACATATTATGATTTTTAGCTTTGTAGCTCATAAAGTGTCTACATTTTCTTCTGAGCTATCTTCCAGTAGTTTAGTTTTGCATTTTATACTTGGTCTGTGATCCATTTTGAGTTAGTTTTTTAAACCAGCATAAGGTCTGTGTTGTTAATCATTTTTGTATGCATGTTGATGACTATTTGTTCTAACAGCATTTTCTGGAAAGACTTTATTCTCCATTGAGATGCCTGTATTCCTTTGTTGAAAATTACTGGGACTATTTTCGTGTGTGTCTGCAGGTCTCCTTCTAGGATATTTTTCTCTTGGGCTATCAGTCTGCTTGCCTGTCACCTCTTCCCTACTAATACACTGTATCAATTATTGTAGTTTTATGGTAAGTCTTTGGTGTTAGGTCTACAACCTTGTTCTCCTTCAATATTGTATTTACTGTGAGTATTCCTATCCATATAAACTTCACAATTAGTAGATATGCACAAAATACCGTGCTAGGATTATTATTATTTATTTATTATTTATTTATTTATTTTTTTTTTGTGTGTCGGTCGTGGGGCTTGAACTCTGGGCCTGGGTGCTGTCCCTCAGCTCTTCAGCTCAAGGCGAGCGCTCTACCACTTGAGCTACAGTGCCACTTCCGGTTTTCTGGTGGTTTTATTGGAGATAGGAGTCTCACGGTCTCT